AAAGATATTCGGGAAAACATGGAGCACTGAGTTCATCTTTTTGTCGCAATATTTGTAGCTTCAACGCTTGACTCATTAAAAATACCGTTACTGTTAAGGTAGGGCAGACACTTGCATGGAAATAGGAACAAACTTAAAAGATATAACCTAAGACAATTTGGAACAGTGTCTTGTTCATCTCGGAGGAAAACAGCGTAATGTTGCGATTTTTGGGAACAAACCAAGTGCTCCAAGGACTTATACATTGAAACTTGCTGCTGTAATTAATAGCGCAATGTTTGTGTTGTCCGACCTACCATCTACCCACTAGACAAGCACATGTATAGGAAACTTCTAGCATAAGTTCCGCAAAAATCTCTTAAATTTTACTCTAGACTGAGTGAATAATTTCCTCATTCTTTAACAAGTGTTGTAATATAAAAATCATTGACTATGATAAGGAAATAATCTAGAATTAAATATCATACATACTAAAAGTGAGATCTAAGGTTCATTGATGCATCTAAACTCGCAGGTAATCAACGTATATCTTTTCTTGAATATTTGATTTAAAAAATTTTAAAGCGGTAAAAGAGCCAAATTTTTGTTGCCATGAAGGGAGCTCAGTTTTTTGAACCATTCAACAACTTTCGAACATTAAATAAGCATTTTAAAGAGATGCGCTCATTAATCTATTTTGGAGTGATAGTATTCTTTATAACATTTTGAGCAATTTTAGCCTTGCCCTTAACTCTTTATTAGACATCATCCAGACTGCAAGCGCGCTTTTGCATGATCAGCAGCTCTGCTCTTTGAACAAACCCTACGCCTTGATCTATGATGTCTGTAATATGTACGCAGTGTTTGTGAGTAACTCGAACCGGCCAACTACGTCAGCTGCGCCGCACCCAAAAAGTCGCATTATTCAGAGTTTCATTAGGAGAAAGGTTGGCAACCAATAGAGTATTTCTTCTTTCCAGCGGTTGACGTTGACTGGAGCAAGGAATTCATTGTCATCGGTTTCGGTTGGGTCGCTTCCTTCGATACCCACATTCCCACGAATGACGGACCTGCCAATGTATATCACACCATCACAGTACGATCCGAAATTTGATGCTCCACCAACGTACGAGGAGGCCGTGCGCTCCTCTGCGCCTACCAGTCCTCTCTCGCCAACGGTAGGTTCAATAGTTAGACGAAGAAGTTGCGTATATTCTTGCAGAAGCAAATGTTCCACAACGTTGAAAATCTTGATTTTATTTATAGTAACTGGAAGAAATAGATTTTGTATATAGTAGATTTTATACAAGCAGTTCACATGAGTTCCTCTCAATTATGACAATGGTTTGAGCAAATATTGATATATTGTTGAGGGAGAGCAAGAGGGTTGCCTTCAAAGAGTTCAAAAAGCAATGACTTCGAAGTGCTACCTACTTTTCGAAGAAAATTATCAGAAAAACTTAGTAGGTAGATGATTTGCCACTAACTAGAGGCTTGTTTAATAGAGTCTTTAGATTTATAAAGAGTATATCAAACAAGCCTCTTGAAACTCTTATAATCCTAAACAAATAGATTTGATACTAAAACGAATCACAATCTTTGTTCTACATTGTTAGTTGATCCCAAATTTTAGAATACAAGTTTTTAACAACTATGAAGTGGGATCAAATTTTTTATCTATGTTGTCTTGGATTCAAAAGTGAGGATGTCTTGGAATTAGATCATTTGAAAAACCGTGAGAACATTTACGATTTGATGCGGTAATATTTTTTAGTTTTTAACCTCTGTCATATCTTTAGTGAAAAATTTCTCATTTGTAATTAATCTTTAAATCTATTGTAGCATCCTTACTGAATATACCATCGTTTAACCATTTGCTTAAGGATGTGTCCGTAATGATTCCATCTCAGCAACCACAGCCGCCTCAGCCATCACGACATCAAAGTTTAGCTGATTCCGACGCACCAGCCAGGTGACATTCATAAACGAAACTCTAAAAATGGAGAAAAAAAACAGACAGTGAAATTTTGCCTTAAAATCAGCTTTTCAAACACATCTTTAGCATTGACGTCCGAGTCGAAATGGCCGAAATTCCAACAACATCATCTTCGCACTAGTTTCCACAACATTTATCTTACCTCACCTGTTCACTACTCTAAACTCTCCCAATATTGGAAAGCGAAGTCACGGATTACGTACATGCCTCGTTGTTGACTCATTTTCACTCATCACATTCACTTAAGCAACTGTCCTGGTATTGCCTCGCATGTTATATACTGAGATGAATGCAATTAACACATGCCATGGCATTGTATCGGCGTTACTGTATGTATTTATATGATTCTCAGTCACCTGTTGAGTATTGTGGCTTTCAGGATGATCCCATG